TAATTTGCATACTTCCTTGAAAACATTTCATTATATTGTGAAATATTTTCGATCAAAACAAAAATGCTTTCCATGATTTACGCAATCCTTCATTTTCATTCATAAAATTTGTAAATCAATTTTGAAATATCTATATATTTATAAACAGTATTCTTACTTACTCGAGTAGAGATGTCATCAGGAGAATCTTTATTCTTATACATTATTTATAAATTTTTAATTTTTAATTTTGTAAAAAAAGTTTTTCAAAAATTTTCAATGGGATTTATTTGTGAAATCACTTCGCTAAATTCTGCAGCGGAGTGTAATGTACAATATCTGGTAGGCGCCAAAAGTAGGCCGGTCGAACTATGTTTTAGATATTAAAGGTATAAAACAATGGTGTCATTTTTCAATATAGTCTCCTTGCAATTCAACACACTTATTACATTTTAGAATTAGCATTTCAATACCCTTGAAAAAATAATCCACATTTTTTTCTGTAAAATGCTCATAAACTGTCCCCTGCTTCATGACTTTTTCGAAGGCTTTTTTTTTGAGTTTTGGAAACAGATAATAATTACACAGAGCCAGGTCCAGGATGTAGGGTGGATGGTCAAGCTCTTCAAACCCATATTCTTTCACAGTAGCTTCGGCAATGACAGCCGTGTACAATGGAGCATTGTCCTGCAAGAGATGAACATGATGCAAATTAACAGATGGTGTCACATACAGATGGTGTTATCTGATACTATCATTATTTTATCCCTATCATGTCTAAAATATAGTTAGGCCGAAAACTTTTGGCGCCTACCACGTATTAATAAAATTTGCAAGAAAAGCTACAAAGATGGATTTGTGTAGGTTTTTGGAAAAATAATCTTTAAACTTTTATTTAAAATTTTTACACTTATACAATTTTTAAGAGTATACTTTATAGGGCTATTATGAAAAAGCATTCCACAAATCGCATTACTTTCGAAATATCGTACACGATGTTGGAAAGCTTTTTAGTATAGTCTACCATACTTAATCTAATATGTTATTACTACAAGAGTTCAATAATAAAAGTTGCAAATAGCCCAGCGTCTATCAATATTTAATCCACACGGGATCCAACGTGAATCTTGAATCTAATCTAAAACGAAATTATAAGATAAGGATTACAAACCATTTTGGTAGTCTTGTGTTATGTCGACTACTTCTAGTAGCCTACTGACTAAATTGACTTCCTTCAATGACTCAATGTTGGACAAATGTTGGCTGAAACGGTCGAATCGATGTTAAATTTACTATCAAAGTCATCACAATATCAAATAGTCTACTTGGGTTGTTAAATATTCAAAAGTACTGTAAATTTTGCGTAGAAATAGGCCTACTAAATTTCAAAAAAGCATAATGCATTTTTAAATATATGTGTGGGGTCAAAATTAATTTTAATTTTTTGTTGCTTTATTCGTTTTTACTTCCAGGCTCTGTTATACATAACAGAGGAAAAGTATGGCGATCGGGAAAAAAATGACTCCCCCAAGATTCTTACATTTTTGACTCAGAGCATCGTGAAACTTTGAAAAATGAAAAAAAAATTCGAGATTTTTTCTGTACGTATGAATAGTGTTTATGAGTGTGTGGGGGGGCACGATTTTATCACACTCTTTGAAGCTTAATAACTCCCGTGCTTTCTGTCGAAAATTTTTGAAACTTTGCAGAGAGATTTGTTTATTACGGGATTGATGCTATTAAATTTTGGTAATTAAAGGTCGAGGGGTGGTGTATATCTCTAGTAGGGTCAGAGTTAATGACAATTTTACTCGTTATTAGCATTTACAATTTTTATATAAAGCCCATCGCTATCCTCAAAATTAAGCTGTTTGCCATTTTATTATATTTTATTAATATTAGTGTCATTTAATAGTTAAAAATGTAAAAAGTTTTAAATAAAATATCATAATAGATGGCGCATCCAAATGTTGCCGGGAAGTTAAGCAACTCGTTGCTGGATTTTTTTCTTTTTGGCATCTGCTTGTAATCATAATCAATCACGTGCAGATCGGCCAATGAAACACTGAGTTGCATTAATCAGAAGGCAGAATTGAATAATATGCCAATTAACAGATAGAACGCGGAATCAAGCTAATTAGCAGACGGGACGGGAGTTGATTAGAAGGAATAAACAGCAAAGGCCGGAAGATCAAAACAGGGGAAGAGAAAGAAAAGAAAGACTGGATAAGACTAAGAAGTCAAGAAGTTCTGGCCACACTTATGTTGTACTTTGGAAACTGACAATAATCACTGTCAGTTTTCAGAATAATTTTGTGCATAGAGAGGCAAATAAGTTATTTCAGCAATTTTCAACCGGTGTTTTGTGGAAGATTCACAGATATGCCGCAATATAAGAAGGAATAAAAATTGGTATAAAAAGATTTTTTGCGCATTTTACCTACATGGTATATGAGGAGTTACAATGTTTATATTGCATCGAGCAGAATTGTTAAGAGTGATTGAATAAAATCTATAATTATATTGGTATAATATAGATTTATTAGGTCTATACCTGTTATTATATATATATATCGCTATATGTGTTTATTTATTTCTCCAGTTTTGTGACAATTATAGCATGTGTTGTGCTTACATTGCTCATTGACTAAATAAGATAATTTGTTACATGCATGTGTATTTGAAAATAACTTCATTAGTTATTTATGACAGCAACTATTTATTATCTTTTGTATTTCATTACGAGGTTTTTTAAATAAACGGGGTTTCAAAGAGATGTTTCAAAAAGACGGTTGCAACGGGTTTCGTCTTTTTTGAGACAATCAATATATTTCTTAATACTCGTGTGTAAAATTTTTGAAATTAGTTTTAATGTGGCGCAAGATACAAAAAGTTGCAAACCATTGAGTTACTGTAAACTGTCCATTCACGTAATCATCAAATTAACGTTTCATGTTAAATTCACGTTTTTTTAATTCTTAAACTGCTTCCTCAAGGTGATTCAGCAAAGAATAAGATGTAAATGCGAACGTGCACTAGGAAACACACAGTTTGGCTTCTGCAGAGGGCTGGGCACCAGAGAGGCAATTTTCTGCTTACAAATACTGCTACAGAAGTGCTATGAACATCAAAAAGAAGTGTACATATGTTTTATTGACTATGAGAAAGCCTTTGACTCAGTGGACCACGGCCGCCTAATTAATCAACTGAGAAAACTTGGGCTTGAAACTAACGATATCAACTTTATCACCACTCTCTACTGGAATCAAACAGCCCGGCTCCGCTATGACAACGACCTGACAGACCCAATCCCAATACAAAAAGGCGTCCGGCAGGGCTGCCCATTATCTCCCATTCTTTTCAATATCTATTCGGAAATGATTTTTGACCAAACACTGGCCGACAGGGAGATCGGCATAAAAGTTAATGGACACTACATCAATAACCTAAGATATGCCGACGACACAGCATTAATAGCGGATTCCGAACAAGATTTACAGACTATCTTGAATGAAGTGAACACAAAAAGTCAAGCATGGGGTTTACGAATCAACAAAAAGAAAACAAAGGTGATGAAGGTCAGCAGGACTCCTAGCGAAATCACGATCAAATTAAATAACGAAAAGTTGGAGCAGGTACACCGCTTCAAGTATCTTGGAGTACTAATTGATGACCAGCTGAATCACGAGACCGAAATCAAGAGCAGAATCGAACAAGCCAGGCAGGCATTTACCAAATGGAAAACACTCCTTACCGACAGAAGCTTGAATATCATGCTCAAATTACGCACATTGAAATGCTACATCTGGCCAATTCTACTCTATGGTGTAGAAACTTGGACTCTAACAGCAGCCACTACAAAAAAGCTCCAGGCCTTCGAAATGTGGCTCTACCGAAGAATGCTGAAAATTCCGTGGACGGACAAGATAACCAATGCACAGGTCTTGCAGTACATGCACACGGACCGGGACCTGATCAAAACCATCATCAGCAGGAAATGCAAATACCTAGGCCACATTGCTAGGAACTACCAAAAATACCATCTACTGCCACTCATCCGGAGGGCAGGATTGAAGGAAAGAAACGTCCAGGTAGACCAAAAACGGCCTGGCTAGATAACATCAACACCTGGTTTCACATGACAACAGCACAAGTTCTACACACAGTGCTAGACAGAGAACAATATCAAAACGAAGTCGCAAACGCCATTCGGCAGCATTAAAGAAGAAGAAGAAACTGCTTGTAATTCTTATAGTTTTCTCCTTCAAATCCCACATATATACAGTACATATTATGTATGAACAGGATGTGAATTTGTGCACTGAAAGAACGTTTAACATTTATGTTATATCAGCAAGCGCCGAAATTTCCATACAACATAATGACATCATTTTGAATTCGCTCTACGTATAACAGTATAAAATACAGTATTTAAATAAGCTACGTAATATAATATGTATATGAGTATAGAATAAAATAATTTCGTAAAAGTTATTAAATCGTATATAAATTTCTTGATTTTTAAGTAGACTATATTTATAACTATTATATGGTTAAATTTAACGTAATAATTTAAATAGGAATTATGAATTAATTTAAATGAAAAATATTTATTTCAAAAGTTTCACTATTTAATTAACAAAATGTTGGCATAAATTTTAATTTAATATGGTCTGTTAACTAAGTTGTTAATATCTTTTTCTATCTTGACAAATCATAGCCAAAAAATTATATATATAAGTAAATAATTGAGTTGTTTTGTTTCTTTATTTGTATAAGTTTCTTTAATAATTTAATATTTAAATGAACAAGACGAAACTTAATATTCTTAAATTTTTATTTCAAGTTTATACAACACGATAAGTTGAAATTGTTTTTATTCAAAAGGAAGATAAAAGAAAAAAAATGTACTCTTCATAGAATGCTTTTCTTATAGATCAAATTGGAGTATTTTAGATAAAAGAGAAATAAATTTGAAATATAAAAATTTTAAATATTATTTTATAATTAATTTGAAAAATATTTTATTTTTCCATATTTTCTTTATTATAGTAAGGCATCTCAGCATATATTTATATATATATATATATATAAGTTTGTGTATATTTATATTTTACGTTGTATACAGCATTTTACTGTATTATTCAGTATCAAGTTCAGAACTATATAAATACACAACAGAAATGATTATTTCCATTAGAAAGGCAGGACGAACAATGTAACGCGATCTATTTTCGTAACATAGAAAAACATTTTAGAGAAAAAGGAACAAAACTGGGACATTTATTAGCAAAAATATCGGAGCCGAGCCGGATTGATATGAGCCTCATTTTCTTTAATGTTTTCCTTAACAAAATTTGATTAAATTTTCACAGGCTCCTTGGTATGATTAAAGCGAAGAGAGGTATTTATTCTCAAAATATAGATTTAAATCTAAAATTTGTCAAAATTTACTCTAAGTGACTTTTCTTTCTAAAAAGGTAGGCCCACATTTTGAGCAGGTGAAATAATTTGTATTCTTTAAAAAATTCCAATCGGATTCAATGCCCAATTTGGATTTTTAAAATAAAACATTTCTGATTTGAGAAATTAAAATGCCATTTTAACTAACATCTAATTTCTTTATAGGCCCGTATAATGCGATTAAACAGAAGAGGCGCATTCTATTCTCTTTTCTTTCACAACGATTCGCGAATAAAAAGACCATTACCAGAAATAAATACAATCACGCTCATCAAACATCTTCCTAATTTCAACTTGGATGAAGAAAAATACAAAGAAAATGATATTGAAAAATTTTCTTCAGCATGAATATCACATCATGGAAAATTGGTCGTTATCATGATTAGTCCAAATGCTTGTTTTTGGATACAACGAGTCTTTACAACTCTTTCGGGAATCCGTCATTAATAACTATACAAAAATTAAAATTCATCATAAAAGTCTCTGAAGGCAAAACTAGACCTTGATTTTTTTCCCTCATTTCATGTTAACAAAAACATCGATTCTCTATTTTTGGCACTTGAGGCAACGAAGATTATTTAGTAACGCTATTATACTGGTCATCAACATCACAGATTCATACAAATTTTACTGAATAACTACTTGACAGCAGTATTAGCTATTCTTTGATTTCTGAATACTGTATTTTGTAGAGTACGCTTCCACCTATCCATTGTATCTCTTAATTTAGAAAGCCAAGTACTCTAAAAGTAGACATTGACAAAGAAATCAATATAACGAAATTTGCTTGAAAATTCAGGTAACGTTAGAAAACCTTACCTTTATTGTTTCATTAGCGCCTTGAAAAGTATGTACTGTAACAATTTGTTGAAATCTATTCAGACAAACAAGTACAAAAGCATTCTTCAGATTGGTGGCTGTAAAGAAGTTAATCTTATTACTTAAAAAATAGTAAATGAATTTACTTTATAATGTATTTTAAAATTTATTATTATATTTACAATAAGTAAATATTGTGTATTATATGAAATTTAATATTTTAGCAAAACTAGTCGAAATACCCAATAATTTAATCTAAAATGGTGTTTTTCAATGAAGATTCTGAGATCAATTTGAAATACAGTAGAGCGTCGTTTATCCGAAGGTCAGTTATCCGAAACGTCGATTATCCGAAGGAATTCCAGTCGACAAATTTAAATTTTCGCCAGTGCTGTGGCTCTGTAATCTTTGGCTATGTCTTCGGCTACTCAAATATTTTATATTTTTTATACTAAATTAACTTCTGAAGTATAATTTTTATTGTTTTTATATTTTTCAATATATTTATTTTGTTTGTATAAAATAAAAAAATAATTTTTAACGATACAATAGTCTTCGTTAAGCTTAACATCGACGAAAATTCAACTCGAAGCGACACGCAATGGAGAAAAATCTCAACACGGGATAAATTAATATATTTTTTCGTACATAATTGGTTATCCGAAAAATAAGTTATCCGAAAAACCCCAGTCCCCAATTGATTCGGATAAACGACGCTCTACTGTAATCAGCACCAGATATGTGTATTTTAATAATTTAATTTATGAAAATATTTAAAATTAAAAAAAGCATAGATCAAATATAAATAAAATTCAGCATAAAAATTTAGCTTTAAAGTAATAAAAAATATTAGGTATATTATGATTTGTGTCGAAATAATAAATTATTAATCATTAACTATTTTTGTTATTGGTCGCACAGCCGATTGTGCTATCTGACTATTAGTAAGAATATGAAAAATAAAATCCTCGGAACCATTTATTAGATTTCACAATTTTCCCGCAAATTACGAAATTTCGTGCTGTATTTTAATATCAGAAATTTCTTTTTGCCACTTACTCTATTTTAGACTATTTACAAGTTTGGCAATGATTTACGCACTATTTTAGCAAATATGGCAATGCAAGTTATATGTGAACTAATACAAATATCCAGAAAAATGATAGAAATTTTTCGCGATTTAATATTGAGAACTATTTTTATATTCTACTCTCAAAAAGTTTCAAATTATTTTTTAAATTATTGCAATTTCTAATCAATTAAAATAGTTAATGACTTAATGTTGAAAAACGTTATTAGTTAAAATATATTGCATTGAAAAATCTTATTTTTATCATTGAAAATTATAAAAGATAGCGATAAAAGAATTATAAAGTATATTTCGAGTTTCATGAGTTAAAAAAAATAAGTTTAATTTAATTGACAAATTTATAGGATACTTTTAGGATTTATAAGATACAATGGGGCAATCGAATAAATTTTTTAAAACTCTTTCTGTCCTTTGTGCACTTCAGAGGACATTTTCTGAGCAAGCAGTTTTTCAGTCCAAATACAAACAAATCTGATTAGTGACATTTTAGGACATGCAGAAGATATTTCCGTAATGTAAAACAAATAGTACCAAAACTTGCCACTATGGCACTTTTGCACTGTAAACAATAAACATTTTATTTGTACAAAACACTCATGCTACATAGAGGCATTAGCAATGCATGGGATACAGTATTGCTCAATGTTGCCCCCAAATTCTGAAAGTGTAAAACCTGAATGTAATGAACAGCATTTCTAACGGTTGACTGTAATTGGACCTTTATAATGCTTCTCACACGCAGTGTAATATTGTCTTTCAAGGCTGCCAAATATGCAGCAGATCATCGATAAACACCACTTTTTAAGTGTCCCCACAAATAAAAATGCTTTTTCGTTGCCTACGGTGCCATGATACCATAGCGGCTAGTTTAATACTAATTCTTTTTACAGAAATGTCTTCTGCGTATCCTGAAATGTCACCATATCAAATTTGATTGCTCTTGGACTACTGAATACGTTTCCACATAGCGTTGAATACAGTAATACCTCGACTTACGCTACCCCGACTTACGCGAACCCGGAGTTACGCGATTTTCAAATCTCGTGGTTTCGTCTTTTGTTTGAGTGCCACGCAACTCTTGATTACTCACTCCCCCCACACTATTGTTCGGCTTACATGTTCGGACGTGTCGCGCGGAATCGACGCATAGCTACAATTTATTTTGTGTTATTTATTTCTGTGTTTCTTATATCTACGGAGACTCGAGAGACTCTATGTGATCATTTCTTGTAACCGTGAACGAATCAAAAGACGTGATAAGATTAACGAGAACATTTATTAGTTTACATACATCCGACTTGGATTTTACACAAATTGCGAAATTATACCCCGACTTACGCGAATTCGACTTACGCGGTTATCGCTCGGGGTATTACTGTACTTTAATTATGTTTGTCTGTGTATAGTCTGGAACACGGAGAAAATAAATGATGCTCCCTTTTGGGTAGACTTTGTCTTCAATTTTATTAAACTTTTAATTATGATCAACTGCTATATTCTTGTTGCATTTACTAATTAAAATTACGGTTGATTAACTATTTCAGAAAAATGATATCGATAATTTTCTTATAACTTAAACTTCATTTATAGCCTATTATTTCTTAGTTATAAGGATTTAAAACATGTGAAATATAAAATTAAAAACAAAATTTTAGAAAACTATTCCATTTATAACTATTTGTATTTGTAAACTGAAAAAACATCTGCTTTAATAATATATTTTAATATTTTAATTCTAAAGTGCTACTATAGTTAAATTCGAATTTAAAAATTCTAATTATTTAAGAAAATAAGAGTGGAATACCACAACAATCCTGCGGACCAACGTCGTGAATAAAAAATCTATCCAACGAAAGAGGTTGCTTATAAACAACATATTTGAATCCTCCTTCGTGAACGGAACTACTTCCTCTACTACATGAACTTGCCCAATTTTCTGTTATGGAAGATTTCTAAAAATAATGAAATTATCATTAATTTTATATTGTTTAAGTTTATAATAATTGCTAATCAATTAATCACCCAACTAGTTAATCATACAAATATTTACTTTTTTATGAAGTCCTTTTTTTCGTCTAGTAATAAGTAACATATCATCGAACAGAATGACAAACATTTCAATCGGTTTTCCACTATCTGAAAAGTTTATGCAAATATTAAATAAAAATATTTTATATTAAAAGTTTATGAAAATTATCTGTTTAAAAACTTCAACTTTTTTAAATAGCTAATTTTCGCTTAATTCTTTTCAATTTTCTTATGATAAAGTTATTATACAAAAATAAATTATTTTGTTAACTTATAAACAATACGTAAACGCACAAACCTCTATAAATTTTATATAATCTACATTTTATAATTTTTATTTTTTATGATTTCCAAGTTTTGAAAACATTTATAATACATAAAAAATCGATTTACTTTATTGGTTAGAGAAAAGAAATAAACAATTTCAGATAATCGATCGAGTCAAATTTTGTATAAATCAATTTTGCAAACAAAAACTTTTAAAATGTAGTGAACATTTTAAAGTTCCACACAATTTTATTTTCCTTTGTAAACAGGCTGCTAAAATAATAAATAATATATAAAAAACTAGAATTTAGTTGAAATCCATATGACAAATAAATATATAGAAGTCGGATAATTTTAATAAAAACTGAGTTTTTCATCCAAAAATATAAATTTTATTGTTATTGTTATCTGGAATTGTATCCAAATTAAGTTATATCCATACTATGAATCATACCAAATGCACTTAACTTTTTCCCATTTAAATGTAAATTAAATAAATATTTGTGTTTAACATTTGTATAAACAACGAATCATTTCATATCTAAAATATATTATAGATGCACATGAGATATGAGTAAAATTTATTTTAAATGAATAAGAATAAATCATAAAACAATCTTAAATTTATATTAAAAATAATAATAATACAAACTAACAAGGCTGCATTGTGATTTTGGATCAATTTTCAAAAGATACAACATTCAAAACATTTGAGAATCTAGAACTGTGCAATAAATCAAAAATAAGTTTTTTTTTGTTCTAATAACATTATGGATTCTTTTTATTCTTTATTCAATTATTACATACGATTTGAGTTCATCTAAAGAAAGCGATAAAAATATATAAGAATATTCGTATGTACTGTATACATTCAAATCAAAACAAAAGATTGGAATAAAGTACAACGTGTACTAAATATTCGATGATCAATTTAAAGAAAACAACCGAGAACATTTTATTTCATTTGCATAATATAAATCAAACTTAATTTGAAATTTATATATAATATTTAACTGTATTTATCTTTATCAATTAAAAGAATACATTAAATACAAGTTTTTTATTCGTATTGTTTAATATCGCTTTTCGATTAACTTGACTAAAATCTTGGCTTAGCTTTTTCTATGTTGAAACTACATAATTTCTTTCATTTATTATTTTTAATTCAAATGTCTAATATAAATAAATTATAATTTTGAAATCTATTCAAAAATAATGATCATTTAAAGATCATAAAATATTTACTCATATATGAAAAATCGACGAATGAATTTAAATGATCAATAGTTTTAAATGGTTCTTCCTTGCGACGTCTTCACCAGGAAAAGACACTGTTATGGACAAAGGTGGAAAACCGAACCTGGTTTATCCGAATGACCGTAAAAAGATATGCTGACGCAAAAAATTCGTGTGTGTCATCGCCCAATAGATAAAAAGTTATTAACGTATAAAAATAACGTAATGTTGAGATTTCAAAAACGAAAGTTTTATTGATGTACAGAAAGTGCTAGGTACAGAGCGTGTAACTGGACAAGTAAACAATGATCAAGGCATAAACACTTTTCACAGTGAGTACAGTTAATAAATATAAGAGTTATACATACATTTTCTTCTCATCTTTTGAGAGTCGCCGTTCTAAGCAGAATACTAAAGGTGTTTCGAATGATGAAAACGTTTCTACGAATATTCATATTTAAAAATGTGAGATTTTTGAATCTTGGTACCGAGAACCGAAAGTAGACGAACGATTATAAACACAGAAAGTAATCTCGGTGCGAAAAGTCGATGTTTGTCGACATTCGTTTGTAAACGAACCAAAACAAACAAATACTCGTTTAACACACACACTCACTAAACGAAGTCGGTTAATCTCAGAAGTAATCTTGAAAGATAGTTGTGGCTTTGATCGATTCAACACGTTACAAGTTTATTTATTAAATTTAATTTTGAAAGAGATAAAATATCGCAATTTTTTTAAATTTATTGTAAAAATAATACATGGCATTTTTTATAATATTCCCTTTCAGACGTATTTGTAATGTGTACAAAAAATGAGTTATTGAAACGAACTGCACACTCAAAAGACAAGGTAAACCGAATGAAATGTGTCGGTACATCAAAAAACAGTCAGTGAGTCAGTCAATCAGTATAAATGACTAATTTTTCAAGATGATGTCTGTAAAGATCAAAACATGTTAAGAAAAATGTTATGGTAAGTCAACCATAACATTTATACCAAACATACCAAACATAAACGGTAATCGTTTATGTTTGGTATTCCAGATGAAATTTTATTACATTGCACGAAGAAAACGGCATGTTTTCGTTTGATACTATATCCAGAATATTGGGATTATGGAATTATACAGTTAGATTTAATGTAAGTAAAATTAACAATTTTTCAAAAAATATCAGTAGATGAGAAAAACTTGAAATGCAAAATTTTTTATGAGAATTTTAACATAAATTAGATTTCATTGAATTTCTTTGAAAGTTGTAAAATTACGGATTAAACTAATACTAGAATACGAATTTCAAAAATGGGAAACAATATCACATTCTGATCGAATTAAACAAATTGAATTTTCAGATATTTGAAAAGCATTAAATATAGCTATGCTTAAGTAATGAAAGCAAACTGAGCTATTTTTATTACATTGCTATATAAAATAAGCTGACTACACTGTAAAAATACTTTTTATAGTAGTTTGTTCTAACGTAACATTATCGAAAAATAAATCTAAACATTTATTTCCGCTAATGTATCCAAGAATTCAGTAATATTTTTATATTTAAGAAATTTTAGATTAAATATAACCGTAATCATGACAAGGAGTTTACTAAAGAGAGAGGTTTTATACAATTTCATAATTTATCATTTCGCAATTATTACGTCAATCATTGTGTTTTCACTTTAAAATCACGCCATGAAAAATTCGGATGAAAATGTTATTCGAAATAAAAATTAACAACATCGAGAAACTGAATATGAATACTATAGAGTACTTGAACCATTAAAATACAAAATTTATTTCCTTTAAAAATTGACATCAAATATATTTTCTAACAGACGTGTTTGGTCTTCTAAAGTAATATAAAGCATTAAAAAGGTAATTCCATTATTGTTTCTTAATAATTTAAACGTAATAATTATTAATAATATCCAATATTATATTAATAAATTGCTAAATACTCAAAAATTACCAAGAAGTTGAAGACATCCTTCTAAAATTATCTGTCTTCTTGGGCTTACAATTAAACGTTCACAAGGTTGTTTTGCAAGAGGACCTCGTAAAAACTAAAAAGGAATTAATTATAAATTTAAATAGTTAATTATATTTCATCTATAATATAAAAAGATATTTTATATTTACTTCGGGAATAAAAGCTTTAGGATCGAGTTCGGTGACAGAAGGCCATACGATATTCCTTTGTATCTCAAGCAGCCGTTCGAAATTCTTTAGCCACTTCATTTTGTCATCTAGTTCTCCTAAAGAATGATACAAAATAAAAGCCATTAGCAATAACTCATTTCCTGCCACTTCACGGCTAAGGAATTAACAACAAATCTTCAGAAAAGAGATCTTAATCCGTTTATATTGAAAATTTATGTAATGTTGATAAAAATAAATTCAAAATAGATTCTTAATAAAAATTGTATTTAAATCTAAATACAATATTTTATTTTACAGAAAAAATAAATTTAGTAATTTTTATTTTATAATAATTTCTTTAAAGCAGTTCTTTAAAGTAAAATCATTCAGCAAGGAAAAAGTATTAAATTTTTCTGATTTTAAATTAGAAAACTTATATACTATATTTAAGATATGATTTTAAAAATGTTTAATAAATAACAGTAATATTGTTACGATTTCTAACTTTTAAATTTATAATATTAAATTGAATTTCTGCAATTATAAATTATTCTTGTCACACATTTAATACAGAAGCAGAAATATTTGTATTAAAAAATCGTTTCATGATGGAGTTATAAATTAAAAAAATGTAATTTATCATCCGCTTGATACTATGCACACAAGAAATTTCTGCTTGGAAAGTTGCTTTACTGATTAAACACTTGCACATTTTTATTTTGCAGATAATCGGTTTTTCAAAGTATTTAAAAGATTGTCATAATACTTGCAAAATTAATCATTTGTAGTAATATTAACATAATGGATGTAAGCAAATAGTGATTAATGGAAAAATGGAAATATTTATTAATTTGTGAAGAAATCTGCAAATAGACAGTTTACGATTTGTTTAGAACCTGTCAAACAAGAATGATAAGCTACGTTTTGAGTTTATAATTACGCTACCAATTCGATAGTTTATGAAATTGTATCCATTCGTGTATTATTATTATTCTCATGTAACTTTCTCATTAGAAAAAGCAGAAATTAAATTAATTAAAAAGTTACAAATCGTAACATGGCTTCATAACCGTCATTATTAATCTATTTTTGCTATAAATTTAAATCGCTCAGTCGATAAATATTGTCTACTAAAATTCGTAATATGTATCCTTCTATATTTAAGTAAAATTATACGAAAAAACATCTAAACAAAATTATTTTTTCAATATTCTGTATATTGCATAACGATAAATTCTTATTTTTGGAGTATGAAAACTTAAATTTTCATTATTTTACAAATTTAATAATTAAAATTTTACTTAGTTTTTGCCTTTCAAAAAAAGAAGAAAAGAAAAAGATAAGCACAATTCAAGTGTATTTTTTGGAAATTCTGTAATGAAAATTTTCAGAATCTACTTTACTTACACTTCAACAAGTATTACATATATTAATTAAATTTTGAGCATAATACTTAATAATTTTATATATTATTTGGCTGTCACTTTAGTATATTCAAAAATTTCATATAGACTATTAACGCAAATTCTCTTTCTGGTTTTTAACTTCAATATTGCTTTCAATTGCCAACAATTATTGTTGACAATTGACGAACTCAAACTGAGCAAATCAATTCTAATACTTTCAGCATATATAAAGAAATATTATAAAACGGAATTAAATATATAACTAAAAAGTATATAACGTAATGTTAATTTACACTATTCATTTAATTTCATACCATTTTGTATAACAAAACAGTTTCGATATTTCATTTATAAAGCTTATTTTTAAGAAATGATGTTTCTATTTCTTAAGAAATTAAAGGAATATTTTAAATCCATAATTGTTTTTCAATAAATGTGTTATCTAAATCAGAATATTTATTTATTTCAATTTAGAATAATAAAATTCAAAAATTGATAATGTATCGTTTGATATAAATTATTAATCTGTAAATTATATATTAGAGGAGAAGGTGGTATTATGGAACACTGCAGGTATTATGGAACCACCCCATTTCGAACTGATAATAAAGGCGAACTGTAGTGGAATGTGGCTGAACTGAACTAGGCAGACATCCATAGCAAGGGGAAAACCCGTTTTACTTCAGTTAAACAGTTGTCCGTATTTAATCAGCAAATTTGTTTTTTTCAAAATTCACAAGTTTTGAATGCTAAGTGAATTTAATTATTTTTAAAATATAAATCGTGTAGTTGTAGGTTCACTGGTGCATGTATTCCGTTCCAGAGACTTAGGGGTACATATTAATCTGTGTGATGTTCACGTTTTTTAAATTTTGGTCTTGACAGACATAAGTTAATTCGAGATGGCGATGCGTGAAATACGGACCCCATTGGTGCTTTTACAGTAATATGGAACTCAACTCCTCCGAACTTTCTATTTGCAAGCAGACATTCCTCCAGAGCAATTTGTGAAAAAGACACTAGGTAGAAAGCCAATTCTTCCTGAGAATATCGAAAAAGAGCTGCTGGAATATATATTGTTGATGGAGGTCATATTTTTCTATTATAAAAGCATTTTTGCGATAAAATACATTGGAGTAAATAATTTTGTAATTATTTAACATTTTTTGTCCTTTCCTATTTGTTTTTGGCTACATTAAAGCATTTTTTTGAAAATATACAGTAAGGTTCCATATTACCACCCGATTTTCTCTAAGCCTACTTTCGGACTTTTTGTACAAAAGCCTTCAAAAACCATACTTATAGTTACACTAGCGAAAAATCCAATTAGGAACATTTAGTTTAATAGTTACCAGTACTTTTCGCACAAAAAATGTGGGTGTAGGTATGATACCTTGTTTACAATTCACTAAAATGTAATTGGGGTTCCATAATACCACCTTCTCCTCTACTTTTAATTACGTTATTTTAGTCTAATAGAAAATAAAAGAAATATTTTAGACCAGCAAAATAAACAACAGTTCTTTTAGAATAAATAATTTAAATATTAGAATGAAATAGCCATTCTGAATCTCAAATGTACATTTTCTATCCACAAAAAATGAAATAAAATTCAAATTAAAATATTAATTTTTCGTTTCAATACTTGAATAATTTATATTCTATTGATTAAATAGTTTTCAAAATGAATTCACAGAAGTAACGATTATTTTTAATCGAAATTGTATTTCTAGAAATGAAGAAACATTATCTGAGATTCCTAAGGTTATACTCCTTGATCTCGATTGGTTTAAAATATTGTTTTCTCTGATAAACAGTATTTTCTTAATATACATTTATCAACTTATAAGATTTCCTTAAGATTATTTGTGTCTAATAATGAAAATATTCAAAATTAAATATATAAACTTAATTTATTAAGTTTTAATTTCTAATTAAATTACTATGTTCATTTACTTAGCGAATGTTCTTCAGCTTCGAGAATACTGGCAATGATTTTCTGTTCATCACTATTTTCTGTTCTCATTTCTATTTCTTTGAGGATAAGAGGAACTCTCATTATATGTTGTACCGGAGATACTAGTAAATCTGTAAGCTGGAGTTTCTTGCATCTAGAATCTCTGGAACACCACTAAATAAATAAATAAATAAATTTGATTTTTAATAAAATAACGAGAATAAATGTTTAATGCTGATTCTTTTGTATAAGTGTTAATAATTTGAAAATTTAATTTCAGTAAATGGATTTCTGGAAATTATCACAAAAGAATTTCAAGATCTTTCGTAGATTTTACTTTATTTAAGGGTGAAGGTTAATATAACGCATATACAGTAATTACTTATATAAAAGAGAAGAAGGTAAAAATGGTAGCTTATATAAATAATTATGCTAATAATACTTGAATATTTTTTAATTAGACAATCTTAAAATTCTAGTAATTAAAATAAAATAGTAGTAGTGATGTTTAAAATAATAATCTAAAAAAATGTTGAGAAACACGCAACCCCAACATTAAAAAAAATGTTGGGGTTGAGCCACCCTCACCACATACATCATTACAATGTATTTACACATATAGGCCTACATCTAAAATATTTACAAATGATATTACTGATTATATTTTACTTTTGATAATTTTTGCATTATAGCGAGAGCAGGAGTGGCCATCCCTACCCCACTTCAATGCATTTACATACACACATCTGAAATATTTACAATATGGTTACTAATTAAATTATATTTTTGGTCTATTTTTTTTAGATAAGGGTGGGGAATGGTAGAGATGGGACGGCCCTACCATATACAGTGTATCATTACAGTGAATTTACACACAAACATCTAAAATATCCTTGTCCAATTGATATTACTAATTAAATAGTACACTTGGTTATGTTTATCAGATTCGGAGTGGGAAAGATGTGAAGGTAAGACCATCCCCTAAAACATCATTAAAATACATTATCTTCGGACTTGCCGTATTTTAGGGCATATAAGACTCAACTTTTGTCCAAAGAAAAGACTGAAAAAATCACCCTCCGTCTTATATGTGAAGTTGCTATCCATAGGCTAATGAATTCCCCAAATGACCAGTAGACTACAGATAACCGTTACTTAGCTCAACTCTTGAATAAAAATGTTATTGCTTAATTAAACAGATTATTATTATTGTTTTTTAAACCAGAATACAATAAAAATAATTGGGGCCGACTGCAAAGGCGCGGGGTAGCTTAAATACACTAAATACTTTTTCCTAAATATTCTGTGCTGAAGTAGGGTGCGTATTATATGTCCGTGCGTTTTATATGGGGCGTGAAGTACGGTAGGCATGTCCTCAAAGTATCAGCTTTCTATCTTACTTACTAGTATAAGTGAATGAAATTTCAGTTGCAAGATTTGAGGACATGATACAAAACAAGTTAAATAAAAGCATTTAATAATTATTAATATTCGAATATAAAAGATATGACTATAAAGTAGTCATAAATCAGTTTTAAAATATATAAATCTTTAAAAAGATTAATTTATAAACTTGTATCCTTTAAAACCAAGTGTAAGGTAAACAATAAATGTTTATTGCCTAGATCAATTGATATCTATAATCAATATCTATATCAATAACCGTTAACAACTTTTTAGATAATTTTATTTATTAACTGAAAATTGTTTAAAAAAAATAAAATTTATATAATATAATCGATAAACAAGGATATCTTATTTACGTCGAATAAAACTGAAATAAAAAACACACTGAAATTTTTCTCATTTAAATTCTGCAATGGATCAAATCGAATTTCGTTTTCGAGAATTTTAAATTTACAATCTGTGTCGATTTAGAAGACAGTCCAAATTTAATAAATTAGTTACTAAATGTTCATTTATTAAGTAATACAACTTTGTACTAGTAACTAACGTATTTTAAATTGGAATAACAAAACTGTTCAATATTTTCTGAGGCATCAATTAGGCTTGTTCAAAAAGCAAGTACTTGACACCGAAAACTATTAAGCAGACTTTAAGCGACGTCAATTTACTGCTTTTGTTTCATTCGAAACTCGTTTATGTAGCACTAAGAATTTATCGATTTTCGCGTCTAAAGTTTCTTAAAATTTACATGTTTTCAAAAACGTCAATTAATGAAGAAAATGCCATTATCGCACACTTCAGAATGAAATTTAACAGACAATTTCATTGACATTAACCTATTTTTTCCAGAAAAATCACTAGAATTTTAAAGAAATACAAAATACTTCAATCATACTTAAAATTGTATAATGTAATCTATTCCTCCTATTTCTAACATAATTTTAACAATAAAATTTGAAAAGAGCAATTAAATTAATACGCAAAAGTTTATTTTCATCATGAGAACAATCATTATTCTATATAATTTAATTTATTGGCTTAAACTTGTTTAACACAAAGGATAAAACAATTGATCTGTCTTACCTTTTCAAATTCATTAAATTCGACTTGTCTTCGTAACGTTTCCAAGTAATTAAGAGCATTAATATAGTTGAGTGTATATCTATGATAGGCTTGTGTTAGAGCCGTAGCTTTAGAACTCTAATAATATTGTAATTTATTAACAGATGTATTTTTCGGAACAATATCATACACTAATCATAATCATAATATATACCTTTCGAAATAATTTTACCAAAACTTCTGTAGTATCAACTTCTCCCGTGTTCATTCTTTGTAAAATGAGACTAAGAAATTCTTTACAAAAGGCATAAGTCACCTAGAATATCAAATATTTTGAGTAAAAGTTTAATACAAATTATGTTTAATCTATTTAATAAATTTAGAATAGAGTATTAACGAAATGACAATCTTACTAATTAATCAATTAACGGTGTTTAAAACAAATTTTTGGACTGTACATTATCTATTAATAAATAGAAAAAGTTAAGAATGTAATAAAAACTCACACAACATAGTTCATCTAGGTTACCAAAGAGAACTTCTGGTTCAGCGAACATTGCAAATCCTTCCACTTGGATTTTCTTCAAAGGTTCCATGAACACCTGAAATCGAACAAATGATCGAAATCGACTTAAAACTTAACAAGAAGTCTAATTTTGTAGAAAAAAAAGAAAGCAATTATTGCTCTAGAACTTCTAGGTTAAGTACTTAAGATCATAAATTCATAAGCTGCTTTCCACTATTTTTTGCTAAATCTAATATTATTGTTTTTCTATGCACAAAATCTACATGAAATTATTTTTAATTTAATCGGTTTAAATGTTAAAATATAATTTTGATTGATATAAAAAAATTTTAAATGGTAAAATAGTATGTTAAAAGAACGTTTTAAAAAATAATACTTTATATCAGCTTTTATAAAAAGTTTGTTAAATTAAAAAAAAACAAAATTTAAAGGATAAAACCTGAAATAATACTTCTTATTTTACTTGATTACCTTAGAATTTTTTACTTGAAAACAAATTTTCCAAGTAAAAAATGATGCTAACTTTTTAGTGAATGTTGAATTAAATTGGATTTAATTTTGCAATAAAAAATATCGTTCATTCTTCTTCACATGTAAGTAAAGTTCAGAAGTCGTTCGCTCTTCAAAGCAAAGAGCAATAATATAGGAATTCGTGGAATTTCTAACATAAATCTTTGCCTAATATCATTACCGCAAACAAGGATGGTCTATATCCGTGAAGAGCATCATCAAATTTAAATCGAATAGGAAAATAAAGTTATGTCGTATACTGAATTTATATCATTATTTGTTTTAAATATTAATTATAAATTTTTTAATTATTATTTTAAAGTCACATTTATACATTTGTATTATTAATTATACGTTTTAAATATCGTGAAAATGCTTAATATTTAATAACTTTATTTTTTATATAAATATTTAATATCGTAAAAAATACAAATTTTGTAAATAAATAATGAAATCTGTTTAATATTTATTATATTAATCTTTCTTTCAAGTGTTTTCTTTCCGAAAACTCATGTTTTGTTTGTTTGCTACATACACGTAATATCTATTCTTCTTTCCATTCATCCTTCCGGGTTTTCTTTTCAAATATAATGCATTAAAAACATTAAATTTTCAAGATATGTTTAAATTCCAGAGTGGAAGACTTATATAAAATGTTTTATTATACATTAGCGAATTCTTCGTGTTACAATTCATGTTATAATATCATGAGTCAAAATTTAAACTCAGTTGAATACATGTATTCATTAATTTTGTTTGATTGATAACTGTTATTACAATTTTAATATTAAATTTAAATGAAAAACAAATATAAAAGTTCCATTTGTATATTAGATTTATTCAGAACATCGGACGTAAATTAATATCAGTAAAATTCTCGAGTCGTATATAAAATTTTGTAATTTGTTTACACAAAAATTAATTAGGTTTCAATGAAAGTTTTTAGCATATTCTCTTATCTATAACTAGTGTTTTTTTTATAGAAGATTAAAATTTAAACATATTTACTAAAAATGCATTACAATTCTTTACTTTGTGGTCAATAATAACGTTATCTGATGTAGTTTTAATAGTTTTCTTTAAACACTTAAAGTTTATATAACTCTCTTCGAATTTTTATGTAATTATCTATAGAATTTTTATTGAAGACGCTAAAGTTAACATTTATATTACTGTTTCTTTTATTTATTTATTTAAGATTTAAATATATAAATCAAAATTTGATTTGATATAAATCATAAATATCAAAACTAAACACTGATTATTTTTTTTCTAGAATAGATATATTTAAAATTTGGAACAGTTGTAAAAATACATGTCTTACGTTTTTTAAAACCATGAGATGATCATAGAGAAACATGCATTCGCTTTGAAAAAGATCCCAGAGCGCTTCTTTTCTTTTAGTTTCGTGTTTAGTGACTGTATGACTCCACCAACTATTTATCTGGTTTTCGATTTCGTCGAGTGTTTGACTGGTTTGCTGATCTTGACTGTTGCTTCTGTCGGATGTTGAATAATCCTGAGAGCGTTCGGATATTACAGAAGAGGAAACGGAACTTCTCGACAGTCTCTGAGAATCCGTTGGAGACCTGTCACTAGAATCATCTGTAAACGTCAACCAACTCGACGTGGTTGGCAGTTGCACGGAATCCAATCTCTGCTGACGTTTCTCTTCACATAGAGTTACGAAGTCGGACCACTGCATACCCTATTTACAAATTCAAAAGAATCAGCATTAAATAAATTTGATTTTTAAACATATTAAGCTAATATATATTTAGCGTTTACCTTATATTTGGATAATTGTTCGTCTACAAATTCGGATGGTTGAAGACTGCTCAGGACCTCTTCTAATCCGCATAGAGATTCCGATTTACTTCTATTTGACCTATCAAACTGCACACACATATGGATGGACAGAAGATTGCTGCATATTTTATCTATCTTTAACATTACTACTTAAAGACCTAAATCACTGTTTTTATATATTTATACTTAGGAATTTTGTTATTTTAAATTTAGAACTAAAAGGAAACTTTACTATTTCAAACTAAAATCTATTTTTATCTAGAAATTTCCAAGATTTATTAAAATACTTACCAACCGTAGAAGCGACCATGTATTTTTATTTTTTCTAGTAGAGTCTGAAAAGTTAAATATTCAATTAAAGAAAAAAATCCTATTTACCTTTAAAAATGGAACATGCAGGAAATAGTTTAATTAATAAGAAAAAAATATATAACTGACCCTCTGATACAGCAAGGCATTGAGTAGAACCGTCTAAATCTAAAGAAAAAAACATTTAATTTAGAGATTACTTTTGATAATTTATTAAATTTTTTTAATGTCATAAAGTTGAAATAGAAATAGGAACTAAACGAAGAGTTAGAAAGAACAGAGAATATAAAGAAGAAACAGACCACCAAAGAGAAGACATACGGATAAAATGAAAAGGAGAAATGCTTTATTCTCTTTGTATAAATATTCCAGAAGTCATTCGTACAGCCTAATACAAATTATTTGTCGAGAGGCACAGAAATGAAGAATTCTTAAGAATGTAAAAAATCTCATTATCAAATATGATCAAGTTAAGTAAGCAAGAAATACTGTGAGAAATCCAGGGAAAAGATGACGTAAGAGGAAAGTAAACGTTTATTGTTAAAATCAAACTAATCGATAATAGACGTCGATAACTGTGACGATCAACTTACTTTAAACCAAGTTTTAAGCCTAAGATACCTCGTTATTTTTTTTCACATATTCCAGAATATAAGTAAACTTTGTTTGATTTCACGTTAATGCATTCCCAATACATGCAACATTTGATTTTATTTCTTATTTAAAGTAAATTTATTGAAAAATTTAATTTAAAAGATTAAAGGCAACTTTAAATCTAAATTACTTAATGTTTGCTCATTTTAATGTTATAAATTAAATTTTATTTCAATTCATTTTCATGCTTTAATTTAAGTGCAAAATCTACTTTTGCATATTGTATTAATATAATGAACTCTTTATAAAGTTTACTATCAATTAGTCTACAGATAATATAAATTTTATGTATAATATCAAAGAATCCCATATAAAATCTTAATAAAAAAATTACTAATATAAAAATCAATAAACAGCTACTAAATATGACTTCGATGTTTTATGAATCATTTCTGTCCTATAAAACAACTGTGTAAGATTATTATTATTTTAGTTTAAAAATATATGGATGAAAATCTTTAAGACTTTGAACTATAATAACGATAATTTGTCATATAGTGTGTTTTATTAATAATTAACGAAGAATGTCCATAGAAGACTATCCATGTATAAAATCAAAATTCAGTTATTAATGAATTGAAAACTGAATAAAAATGAAGGAAATATTAGTGGATAAATATATTTAAAATGAATTATTACGAAGAATAATATATCTCACCTAAGAGAGTATTTCTGTGTGTCAAAACCTTACTATAAACTAATAAATCACCCGGGCAAATCTGCATTGGAGGTATCACAACAATGGAACTTCTGCGCCTCGATCGGTTGAGAGCGTCAGCACTTCTGAAAAATATTTTTTGTTACTACTTTGAATATAAAAGAAAACGTTTATTTATTTTAGTTTATGATTTATAAAGTTGTAAAGTAACTTAGTTCTAAAATCATTTATTAAACGAATAAAAATTTCTCACGTGTTATTTGGACCAAGATTTTCGGAAGGTTGTTCTAATTCTTCATTTGCACTTTCATAGCCATCTGTTAACATCTGAAAAGTAAAATTTGTTAATTTAAACAAATTAGGCTGTATTTCAAATTATAAAATATACATATTTATATAAAATTTAAATAATAAACTTTTCCAAAGCATCAGCTTTGTACCTTAAAAAAAGTAAGTTATAGAAGATTATATATAATAATTTTTTATTACTAATACTGGTGCATTTTTGATATTTTTACATGTTATTTTTCTGTCTAATAAAAGTAAATATTCGAATAAAAATATTATTGCAGTCATAAATGCTGTTATTGAACTTGCGAAAAAATTATAACGTTAAATCTTCATTTTGCACTTAAACAGTTCAGAAAATATAAATTTGAATAGTCATAATAGGAAATAATTATATTTAAAACATTTATATCTAATAATCAATTATAATAATTAATATTAAACTTTTTATAAGTCTATAAATTAGATCAACGTGTATTTTTATTTTTATTTATTGACAAAATCACGAATCTTTCCGAGATAGACTAATAAAAAAAAATTGACATACGCCAAATTCAAGTTATCTTTAATAAAACTTTATCGAGAAAAAAATCTAGAAAATAAAAATGAAATATTTTTTAATAAAGAAGCAAATTCAATAATTTTTTTTTTTTTGAAAAATTTCTAAAGAAGCTAGAAAAATAAAATATTGCAATTTTTCCAATATTCTCTGCATAGAACTAAGTACATTACATTTAGAGAATTCATCTTTTCAAAAGTCATTTTCAAAAGAGGCTAATATATTGTTAAACATAAATAATTAACTTTTGTTGAGAAGTCGGTGCGTGCCTCCATTAATTCATTAGCAATGCACGTTGCCATCAATTCTATTTTGTCACACGAAAATGAAAGTAGGTGAAGTCTGTCACGTACTATACTTCAGTATTTATATTGATTTCTATGCAAAATAATAAATTTAACTAATATATAAAATCTTGTACCATAGAAATTACCATAATTTGTTCAAATATATTATTGTAATAACTGAGAAATCTTTATGCAACTTTGATTATTTATCTCTTAAATATGGCATTTTCTCCTTACATTGAAATTAATATGAATCATGTTTTATATTATTTTAATTATGTTATTTTATTTTAAAATATTTTAAAATTTATTTTAACAACCAATCAATTTGCATCTAAAAATATATTCCAGTGAAATGAGTAATATTTTCTGTGTATTAAAAATTGTATAATCAATCATAGGTCATTTGAAACCCGATATAAAAATTTTTAAGCTTTTTCAAACGTGTGAATCAGTTTAAATATGCAATTAAAATAAATTTTCTTTTTTTCGCTTGTTTTAAATTCCATTTCGAATCACATTTATTCTTGGAAAATAAGAAAAGGAAGAAGAGGGAGTTGTCAGCATTGTAACTTATAGAGTGCAGGAGTAGAAACATTGTAAAAACTTTCCATGTATACATGTTGAACATTGTAAAAACCATAGTTTAATACATATATGAGTATATAGGTATTCAACTATAATTTTTAATGTTTCTACCTTGTATAATACTGACAACCCCCCCCCTCTTCTTTTTCCTTTTATAGGCTTATATATATTAGAATTTAATATAAAAGTAATAATCTCAGATTCATTACTGATTTTACGATAAAATAAAAATCAATTTATGCTATTTTTTACGATGAAAATAAAATGAAAATAGTTTAAAAGAACTCAATATCGTATATTAATCCGAACTGAAGAAATTGTTTTAAAATCGTTGCTATAATATTTATAAATCTTAGAATCAATGAGATTGCATCAGTGTATGCAATGCTAAATAATAATAAAAAAAAGGAAAAAAAACTTTTAATTTTATACGAATTTAAATATATTCCTCGTCAAGCTGTGTAAAATGAGATGAGACTATGTAAAAAAAGCATAATATGTTACTTCTATCTTAATTAAGATTATAAGTGCTTAATATTTTCATACTTGTAATATGATACTTCTGTGACATGTCAATGGAACAACTTCTGAAGTACTTGCACGTGTGGTCTATCGTCAATTCTTCAGTTCTTATATATATATATAATTTAATTTATTGGCTTAAACTTGTTTAACACAAAGGATAAAACAATTGATCTGTCTTACCTTTTCAAATTCATTAAATTCGACTTGTCTTCGTAACGTTTCCAAGTAATTAAGAGCATTAATATAGTTGAGTGTATATCTATGATAGGCTTGTGTTAGAGCCGTAGCTTTAGAACTCTAATAATATTGTAATTTATTAACAGATGTATTTTTCGGAACAATATCATACACTAATCATAATCATAATATATACCTTTCGAAATAATTTTACCAAAACTTCTGTAGTATCAACTTCTCCCGTGTTCATTCTTTGTAAAATGAGACTAAGAAATTCTTTACAAAAGGCATAAGTCACCTAGAATATCAAATATTTTGAGTAAAAGTTTAATACAAATTATGTTTAATCTATTTAATAAATTTAGAATAGAGTATTAACGAAATGACAATCTTACTAATTAATCAATTAACGGTGTTTAAAACAAATTTTTGGACTGTACATTATCTATTAATAAATAGAAAAAGTTAAGAATGTAATAAAAACTCACACAACATAGTTCATCTAGGTTACCAAAGAGAACTTCTGGTTCAGCGAACATTGCAAATCCTTCCACTTGGATTTTCTTCAAAGGTTCCATGAACACCTGAAATCGAACAAATGATCGAAATCGACTTAAAACTTAACAAGAAGTCTAATTTTGTAGAAAAAAAAGAAAGCAATTATTGCTCTAGAACTTCTAGGTTAAGTACTTAAGATCATAAATTCATAAGCTGCTTTCCACTATTTTTTGCTAAATCTAATATTATTGTTTTTCTATGCACAAAATCTACATGAAATTATTTTTAATTTAATCGGTTTAAATGTTAAAATATAATTTTGATTGATATAAAAAAATTTTAAATGGTAAAATAGTATGTTAAAAGAACGTTTTAAAAAATAATACTTTATATCAGCTTTTATAAAAAGTTTGTTAAATTAAAAAAAAACAAAATTTAAAGGATAAAACCTGAAATAATACTTCTTATTTTACTTGATTACCTTAGAATTTTTTACTTGAAAACAAATTTTCCAAGTAAAAAATGATGCTAACTTTTTAGTGAATGTTGAATTAAATTGGATTTAATTTTGCAATAAAAAATATCGTTCATTCTTCTTCACATGTAAGTAAAGTTCAGAAGTCGTTCGCTCTTCAAAGCAAAGAGCAATAATATAGGAATTCGTGGAATTTCTAACATAAATCTTTGCCTAATATCATTACCGCAAACAAGGATGGTCTATATCCGTGAAGAGCATCATCAAATTTAAATCGAATAGGAAAATAAAGTTATGTCGTATACTGAATTTATATCATTATTTGTTTTAAATATTAATTATAAATTTTTTAATTATTATTTTAAAGTCACATTTATACATTTGTATTATTAATTATACGTTTTAAATATCGTGAAAATGCTTAATATTTAATAACTTTATTTTTTATATAAATATTTAATATCGTAAAAAATACAAATTTTGTAAATAAATAATGAAATCTGTTTAATATTTATTATATTAATCTTTCTTTCAAGTGTTTTCTTTCCGAAAACTCATGTTTTGTTTGTTTGCTACATACACGTAATATCTATTCTTCTTTCCATTCATCCTTCCGGGTTTTCTTTTCAAATATAATGCATTAAAAACATTAAATTTTCAAGATATGTTTAAATTCCAGAGTGGAAGACTTATATAAAATGTTTTATTATACATTAGCGAATTCTTCGTGTTACAATTCATGTTATAATATCATGAGTCAAAATTTAAACTCAGTTGAATACATGTATTCATTAATTTTGTTTGATTGATAACTGTTATTACAATTTTAATATTAAATTTAAATGAAAAACAAATATAAAAGTTCCATTTGTATATTAGATTTATTCAGAACATCGGACGTAAATTAATATCAGTAAAATTCTCGAGTCGTATATAAAATTTTGTAATTTGTTTACACAAAAATTAATTAGGTTTCAATGAAAGTTTTTAGCATATTCTCTTATCTATAACTAGTGTTTTTTTTATAGAAGATTAAAATTTAAACATATTTACTAAAAATGCATTACAATTCTTTACTTTGTGGTCAATAATAACGTTATCTGATGTAGTTTTAATAGTTTTCTTTAAACACTTAAAGTTTATATAACTCTCTTCGAATTTTTATGTAATTATCTATAGAATTTTTATTGAAGACGCTAAAGTTAACATTTATATTACTGTTTCTTTTATTTATTTATTTAAGATTTAAATATATNATGTGCAAATTAATAAACACATACAAGAAATCTTATTACTATATAGGATTTCTTGTGTGTATTTATTAATTTCCATCATGAACAGTAAAAAGATAGAGTTAATCACAGTTTCTGGATCATATGATGACTAAAATATTCCAAAATCGATTATATAAATATGTCTATTTTCAAGAAAATTAAGAATGACATAAAAAGTTAAATATTTTAAAAGTGAAATGTTATATTTTCGACAAAAAACAATAAAAAAAAGTGATATATGCTTTAAAAGGATGTAAATAGAACAGATATTGTAATAGTAAGAAAAATATCACTCCTTAAAAATCTAAAGATAAATATTGGTTCAATTCTGTCCTCGAAATTAACGTCAATTCCAAGAATCGTCTATGTATTCTTGTGTGGAATGATAATTTACGATATGTTTAAAAGTCGTCATGACGTCATTTATATAAAATATAGATTTACAATCGTGAGAATTTTACTGATTAACCTTAATATAAGATATATATTTCAACTCTTCCATTCTTCACTCATTAAATATAATAAATAGTAAACATCGAACTTAAATTTTATACGTTATAAATACATAATATTTTATTTCTTAACTCTTGAAATTGTTCATGGATTTTATTTTATTACGCAATTTCTTTAATGAATAAATATGTTTTAATAAATAA